GAAGTACTTTAATTTATTGGAAATACCTACAACAGATTATGCATATTTTCAGTATATGTATGAGTAAATATTAAATTTGTTATTATTAAAAGTTATAACTAGTAATTCTTGATTAAATTTAAAAGGCAGGTATCTACGTAACGGTGTTTTATTTAAAAGTTATCTAAACACTTGTCGGTTACAGAGCTTAACTCTGAAGTGACAGAAATTTAAAAATAATCTTTGATAATATTCAATATCAGACATAAAGGCGTACATGGTACATATTATTATGTCTAGTCTTTTCAAAAAATCCATTTCGTTTAAAGTGTTCTATTAAATTAATATTTATTGTGATAATTGATAGCCTACCTACATGTCGCGTGCGAGACTTCTTGGATTTGCGTGATCGGGGAAGCAAATTTACTGGAAGGTGAAGTGTTATTATAATTATATAAAATAATAAATATGGAGTATAATCATAATTTATAAGTAATGGAAAGCTATTAAGTCACAGACTTCTCCCGTTCGCGCGTTACAGCAGAGGATGCTTAGTTCTTACCAAACCACTTGYCGTTATTACGGTGACTGTMAACATTTCGTCGAAACTCGTAACTATTCCCTTTCACTGATCCCAGTTGTTTTGATACTGTGTAAGTAGTGTGTTTATTTTAGTTTATGGGCTACAGAAAAGATCAATCAATTCGGCTAGAGGTTGATTTTATTGATAAAATATACACTACTGAAATATTAAGCCATTCATATTGTATGGTTCTCATAACACACATGTTAAAAAGTCCAAGAGCAACAAAATTAGGGTAAGTTAAAATTCAATAAGTTATTATTATTATAATGCTATTTTATTAATTAAACTAGTGTTGAAATGATTTTTAATTTAACTTTATAATTTTTCAATTGGGTTATTGACTTATTGTTCACTAAATATATTATATTGTATATATATTATAAAATTAGAATATTTAAGAAAAATAGTACCTATAATTATAGCTTCCGCCGTTTGGTAAACTTAAATCATTACGCAAGCCATTTAGGTAGTTCTATTCAAGTATATCAGTACAGGTTATTAACAAAATGTATTCCATAATAGGTACCTACCAATATTCCGTGATACAGAATCAATGATAATTTTAATATTTAAATGACAAATATCATACTTGTAAACAATATTTCATAAATAAATATCTAAAAATAACACTTTTATTAGGTATTAAGATATATTTAAAATTTGTAAATGTGTTCACAAATACGCTTAATAACAGAATCTTAATTCAAATATCTTCTAACGACGGTTTTTATCWGTTTGTTGTAAATATAAATATTTTAAATTTAATAAATATTAATAATATTAAATTTATACGAGTGTATTCAAGTAGATGATTAAAATAATTAATTAAGGTRGACAGTACCCATAAATTTAATAAATATTTTTACTCAAAATCTTATTTAGGTATTTTATACGYAAAACTRTAGAGATTCTTAGGTTAAATGTTTTTTTTWAAATATTAATCAAGTTGGATGTATTGGAACTTACAATKTATAATAGGTACCTATATAGCCGATAAAATATCTATAATTTATATATTATAATATTTATAATATAGTCTAGATCAGGGGTGGCGAACCTATATGGCACGTTGGTCAAATTTTCACAGCTTGTAAAAATACTTTCTTTTTTTCACACTTAATCAAAAAATTATCTACTATTTAAAAAAAAAATAAAGTCATCAATTATACAAGCTAGTAGCTCACTTCTTGATATAATATTTTGTACTTGGAAAAAGTGGTTTATTATAAATAAACTCAATATTCGCATTAACATACATATATAATAGTTAGCTAAGATGCGAGTTAATTTTACACAGTGAATTATTTTAAATAAAACATATAGTAATGATATATTATTGAATGAAACTAATGTTTTTTATTTCATTAAAACATTAAGACTAACATCAGAGATTAAAATAATTTTAATGAAAATTTTAGTGAACTTTTTAAGACTTTCATGGGCCTAAAAACATTGTTTATTGGGTACTTTTCTTACATAGTTACATGAATACATATTTAGATGATGGTGCGTGATGTTTTTCAATACTTTGATTACAAAATGTTGGAAAGTGACTATAAAAATATTTACCACCCCTAATCTAGGCCATAAACTTCATAGAGTTATGAAAACAATTCAAAATTTACCTAMAATTAATGTAAGTGTTTATAGCATATAAATATCTAAATTAATAAAATATATTATATATTGGAGGGAAACTGTTCGGTATTGGAATTATGAATTACTATTGAACGTTTGAATTCTGTAGAACATAGAGTAAATCTAACTTATTTACAATTTAAGCGATTTGCTCGTATTTTATTATTCTRGAATCAGGTATTCAAATATCTATAATAGTTTTATAATTTTTGTTTGCACTAGTAGGATGGATGCATCCAAATTCCAATATCAGTTAGAGTGGGCCAAATAAGTTTTTAAGCCCATTTCATAGTGACGCATATTAAAATAAATGTAAGCGCCTACACCATAGTACACTACCACTATACCAATGCCACATCCCTATCATTCATGTGAGACGTGAGTACGTGACTATGAAATATATGGGTCTAATAGAGGAAATAATWTTGTAATAACTGGCAACTGCTCTCTTATGACCTACCTACCCTTTCTATAAAATATAAGTAGATAACTATATAATTATTGTGTTGTTCTATAATTTAGTTGTAGTTGAATACTTGAATATAGTAAGTTTTTAGTTTTAAATATCTRCCAAATAAATTTTTCTCTATATTACGCAGAAAAGATAAATTATTGTGTTTTTTAAGTCTTTAGTGTAAAATAAACAATTCACAAATTATTTCATATTCTTACCCAATCACCGGACATTGATAAAAATAAACCTAATAAGGATCAGACACTAGATTATTAGATAATTGTCAAAATATAAATGATTTTTGAGGTATATACGAAAAATATAAAATCTTAGAATATTTAGAGACTCAGTCGCATAAAATTAATACCTATGTTTATTATTTCATTTTTGTTGTATCTATAGAGATACTATTTTGTAAGAATGTAAGATTTACATAATACCTAACCTATTATATAATAATTTGATTCTAACTATTATTATAAAAGTAGTTGCGAATAAGATTATGTTATGATAAATTGGTAAATCCTAGATATTTTTATTCATTGAAAACTACTTCTTTTTAATAATTGGTAGGTATTAAAAATAAAAATTTGACAATGGACAATCGATTTATTGTTATATTTGAATACACTGGAGGCGGTCTTWTATTGTGAAGGTTATAGTATTTTTAGTTTATSTTTTCGGCTACAATTTACAGATCATCATCACCCTACTGAGAGTTTTTTTTTTGAAGTGAGACTTTATAATTTATTTTGTTCCAAATATGGCTACAAATAAATTATAATAGATCATATTTTCTCATAAAATGATTCACCGATCAAATATAATAAATATTTATTATATATCATATTTACTTATAGGTATAAACAATTAATTTATTAAAATTACTATATAAAGTTAAATAAATAATTATAATTACTTGAATATATTATAACTTTATAGCTGCGTATGTATGGAATTACCAGTAAATATTTATAAATTATGGTCGTATGGCTGACRARTGGCAGGCACAAGACAATGACCCCATATAGAGTTTTCTAAATCAACGACTTTTTTCCTGAARWTAARGAATGGAAAGGACTTATCCTTATTTATTTATAATTCATTAATTTGTTTGTTCACAGTTATGTAGGATAAAATTAAATGAATATCTGTATACGGGTGTCAATCGAATATAAAATGCCTTTGTCCGAAGTGAGAAGATGTGTAACAATCAAATTTACATTATTATTGATGTTAGCTGCTGTAGCTTTAGCTCAATCACCAAATAGTAACTCAATAGTTGGCCCAAATAAAGCTAACGGAGGTTCTGTTGGAAAGTTTCGTAAGTATAAAAAATATTAAATTCTAAAAAATCTAATTGTTTATAATAACATTTACTATAATAAGTGTGCTTGTTTTTAATTTTTTATATTACGTGCTTCTCTACTTTTTAAGATATAGGTTACAGTTAGTAGTTTATAGACATCATCTATACATACAATTATACATGTATATATATTTAATATAATATATAGATTACATCTTTTTATTTGCCATATGGTTGGTCAAGTTCTGAGAGTATTATTTTAAATTTTCAAGAAACTTGGTGAAAGTCTATAAATCGTGGATATAGGTAATCACAAATTGATTTAAATTTTGCTTAGGTTTTTTTAAGTAACTACCTACATTATGCAGATGTCATCTTTATATCAATGATACAAAGTCTGACAGTAAAGTAATATACCTAGTAATATAATATAAGATCTGAAATAAAATTATGTAGAGATGGAAATGGAACTAATAGTTTTAAAATCTGTTATTTTAGTATGGTTTAATAGACCTTTAAATCAAATTGTTCTCTTAATAATTTTAATTTATAGTATTTTCCTTTAATAATTGAACCATTGATTTCATATTTAAAGATTTCCACCTTACATATACACTATACATCTTAGTACTTTTAGTAGTGGGGGTTAGCCGAGTAACTAACTGAATTACATTTTTATTATTAATTATACAATATGTGTAATAATTTTGATTAATTAATATGAAAAATGAATATTTATTTAAAAGGTTTATGACCGATATAATTACATATATAATTATACCTACTTTAGCAAAAAAAAAAAAAACCGGTAAACTTTCACTAAACGTTCTTGGATTTGTTAATTTAGAAACTAGACAGACCAGTACAAGTGTATCACATATTCACATTTAATGTAGTTTGAGTTATGTCATCATTTGCATTTGTAAAAATTAATTCATAGTTTATACGATATAATGTAATTCGTAATTGGCCCGATGCAACAAAACCGCAGTTAGAATGTTAGTTGTTACAGAATCTTATGAACGCATTCTACACTATTTACATCAGCGGTGCGCAACTGAGTACATTTTCCTTGTTTGTTTTATTCATTCGCAAAAGTTACTCTTAAAAACAAAATAAATGAAAATAATTGCGTGCAGATAAATTATATATAATTGTCTTTATTATCCCCACTAGACACATACAAATAATTAGAGTAATTTAAAATATTAAAATTTAGTTTAATTATTAAACTATATTACAAAATCGAGAATTGTTGAGTAGATAATAACTGTATACCTATGGATGTATTAAGTTGAAATGTTATGATAAATTATTATTTCGATATACCTATTACCTATACGATCCTAAGCGAGCTAAAAAAAATTTAAATGTTATACTATATTAGATTCTGAGTGGAACGAGGAATGTATTGATTTTACCATGATGTGTGTGTGTTTTTTTTTTGTGTCTGTCATCATACGTTTTGGGGCCGTAAAAGTGCTTCGATTTTTGACTTCAGTACCTCGTTTGATCAGAAAGTGAATCTAGTTGGTACTTT